AGTTTTATTTGATTTAAATTTAGTGAATGGTTGGCTGAGCTCCAACACAATACTTATCCAATCCTTGTTCTTTAAATAATGTAATGCATGTCCTAAATAAAAAATTTGGATGATATGGTTATTTAAAATATTTGGTTCAACCCCTTTTGATCTTATATAAAATATTGTAAGATATATGGGGATAGTGTATATCGATCTTATTTAGATGAGTAAAGGAACTTAATTTTTTTGCTTCACGGTGTCCATTTTAGTAAACTTCATGAGAATGTCTGCATCATGTTTCAATTGAACAACCAAATACATCTTCGATATGAAACTTTCCAACATATAGATGATTTGAGTACACGGTGTAGATATTATTCGCTTTCGTAAAATACATTTATACAGCTAGGGAATGTCCACACATATAAGTTCAAGGCAATGTGAGACGTACATCACAATTTCCGCTAATTTCCGAGATGGAAAGAAAAGGAAAGGAAAGCAAACCATGTTTGAACAATGTACCTCCACAAAACCAAGTGGGGGATAGAGAGTCTGAGAATATATGATTTTGTTTTCCACAAGGCACAAATTAATTGCTTTGTGAAATTGAGGAAGGAAATTAAGAGGTGGACCACAAAAACCCTGTAATGGTAACAGTAGTACTGAGTCTGACTGAGGGAGGAAAATAAGAAGTTTGGGGGACCTTTTTTTTATGCCGGCCATGTTTGTAATTTAGCGCCCTGTTTGGATAGTCAAACTCGATTTGATGATTCAAAGATAAAAAAGAGAATTTCGGCTACTCCATAAATATGTATACAGATCTTGTATCAGACACTGCCCCACTAACATCCCTTTCTTTTGTTTTCTTTTTGATTTCATCAATAAAAAAGGTGGCCAACGTGACCAGCCAACCTTTTAAGTTATATGCCCCACGGCCGACATGCATCTCTCTCTCACTCTCTCTTTCTCTCTCTCTCTCACACACAAACACACAAATTAACATATAAGAGAGATGATTTCTGTGACCACAAGATTCAAAAACCTTGAGAAATTAATAAAACAGTTTCCTTTTATACCATCTTTTCTTATTTTCTATTATACTTCAGCATCAAATACGACTTATATATATTAACGGAATATGACATTTTCAATTATATACATATATGTGTATGTATATGGGGAACATGGCAGAAACTCATTGATTTATAAATTCAATTAAAGGACTCATGTACATATATATAATAATTTAAAAAAAAAAAAAAAAAAAAACTTCTAATAAGCAAATCTTGATATACACAATATTCAGTCAAAGTTATTATTATTATTATTATTTTGATTAAATTCAATTAAAGTACTCATGTATATAATAATTTATTTTTTTTAAAAAAAAAAATTCTAATAAGCAAATCTTGATATACACAAAATTCAGGCAAAGTTATTTTTTTGTTTTGTTTTACAAGGACATAATTTTAGTTCACCGATATTAGCATGTGCATACTCTTATCCTGATGATGAATAATAAGATATACTCCGTGTATAATTCCTTTGATATATATATGTATATGTATATGTATATGTATGTGTGTGTGCTAGCTAGGAAATACTATTAATTTGTTAGTTGGAATCATATATGTTTCATATCCTGTAGTTCTGGGGCCAATTAACATTTCAACAAGGGCTGTTATATGACTATCTCCCCTCTGACTTCTTCTCAAGTAAGCAATTCATGCATTTTAGATATTTGGAAGAGATTAAGATGAATGGGTGGACTAAGATTCTGTCCAGTATTTTAACTATAAAAAAACAAGAAAAAAAACAAAAGAAAAGATTCTCTCCAGTACACGTACTGTTTGATAACAGCGATTAACCGGCAAGTAGGGATATATGCTATAATGCAGTACTGGAGAGGTTTAACTTTCAGTCGGCTACGGTTTCCTTTACTTACTATGATTTGTCAAATATTGACTCTTGTACGTCAACCAATTACCATATAGCTATTTTATTTTGACTTTAAGAAAAACACACAAAAAAAAAAAAAAAAACCAATTACCATATCTTTCTTTATGCAACTCCCTTCTATTAATTGCACGACAATAAATATATAATCATTGGAGAACAAGGACGTTCCAATATATATATAACCACTCTTTTTTATATTTGAAAAAAAAAAATGAAAGAAAAGAAAAAGATAGCAAACTTTATTTCAAATGCAACACATATAACAGACTTTAATTTGTTCGCAAAAGGCAGTTCAAAATTTGAGCTACCTCGATTGAAGTTGTTTAAAGATATGACAATATATATAGGGAAAATTACATATAAATGGAGTTAAAGTTCCATATTTACTTAGAGGCTGAGTCAAAGTTCCATATTTCTCTAAAATGGATTGCTGAGGTGGCACATGGTTTTTTACTGTTTAGAAATTGTGATGCCTAAAATACCCTTCCGCAAAGGTACTACTTTTTCTTCGAAGGTACTACTTTTTTGAACTGAAGGTACTACTTTTTGGCGTTCAGGTACCATGTTTTTTAAACACTCGCGAAGGTACTACTTTTTCTCCGAAGGTACTACTTTTTTGAACTGAAGGTACTATTTTTTTGAACTGAAGGTACTACTTTTTTATTAGGGAAGGGCATTTTAGGCATCACAATTTTTTAAACAGTAAAAAATCATGTGCCACCTCAGCAATCCATTTTAGAGAAATATGGAACTTTGACTCCGTCTCTGAGTAAATATGAAACTTTGACTCCATTTATATGTAATTTTCCCATATATATATATACACACATGCTCAAAGTGAAGTTCATTTTAACCTGTCATGATGGTTCAGATGCCAAGATATTTGAATTATTATATTCTTAGTTTGCAAGCAATTGTAAATATTTAGAGTTTACATTGTAGTCATGAGTCTGATTAATTTGTCATTAGTGAAATGGTTAAAATAGGAAAGTAATCATGGGATCGAAAACTTGAGTCTTTATTAAAATTGGCGTGATTGAGTTGAATAGTTAACTTTGTAATCATAATCTTTTGATCTTAACTTACCTAAGTGAAGGAGAGGAGGAATTTAAATTCGGGTATTGATAAAAGGACATGTGAGATGGATTAGTGGCCCAGTACCCTATACCTATAAAAATAAAAGTGCATGTTTGAGCTAGCTAGACAAGCTCAAGTAGCCTAGGGTTTAGGTATGACTTTAAAAAGTTCCAAAATAACTTGCGATCTCATTATTTATCATTTCCCCATCCTACTTTTATCAATGTATGAGAAAGGTGAATGCCTCTATTTACAGATAAACCAGTTGGTGGTCGCCATGTGTGCGCCGCGGTTTAAACAGAAAGCTCCCTCGACTTATAATTTTTTTTTTAAAGTAAACTCTTCTTGTCTATTTTTTTTTGTTTATCAAAGAACCTCATTCAACTTATAATCTTTTTCCAATAAATTTTTCTTGTTCAATTTTTTACTAGATAACTGTTGATATTTGGACCAAAATATTTTTTTATTTAAAACTTAATTCTCCCAAATTTTAAAAATTCATATCTCACAAACCATATATTTAAAAATTATAAATAATATATGCACGGAAAACTTATGAAATAAGAATTCTAAAAAAATAATATTTGTATAATAAACCTTCATAACCAAAGAAAAATAGACAATCTAAAAATTTACTCTAACAATCTTATTTTATTTTTAAATAAAATACTCGAAATATTTGCAAGAAAATTTTCATAATCATTCATTTACATATGGAGCCAAATGTATAAAAAATTTAGTGCCAACAGAGATTGATTTTATGAGTTATTATATTTTACGTTAAAACATTTTCATTCTTTTATAAACTCGTCATTTAAACATAAAATAAAAATGAATATTTGGTCTCTATTGAGGCTAATTTTTTTTATATGTTATGCTCCATATGAAAATGAATAATTTTGAAAATTTTCTTACAAATAACCCAAGTATTTTATAAAAAATAAAATAAAATAAGATTGTTGCAGTAGATTTTTAGATTATCTATTTCTCTCTGGTTATAAAATTTTGTTAAACAAATCTTATATTTCTGAAACCCTTGTTTTATAAGCTTTCGTTCATATATTATTTGCAATATTTGGATGTATGGTTTGTTAGATATTAATTTTTGAAATTTAAAAAAATTAAAATTTAAATAAAAGGACATTTTTATCCAAATATAAACTATTTTACCCCCTTAGATAGTTGAGGGAGGTTCTTTAATAAAAAATTAGACGAGGGTTTACTGGAAAAGATTACAAATCGGGGGCAATTTTTCATACTTTGTCATATATATATATATATATATATATATATATAATCGGTATATAAGCAGAGTTTTGAATGATGGGATGGTGAGATAATTTTTTGCATTCTTCTTCAAATCTTTCATCAGACAGTTTTGGACGCAACATTCTTTTTCATCAATCCAATGGGGCCCATTTGCTTATCACTCAAAAAAAACCTCTCCATTTCCGGAATGACCCAAGATTTCAGCATGACTTTCTGTCTCGGATATCATTAAACAACCATGTTCTCCCTCTCCTTACTTAGCTTACTTTGCACTTCACACTTTCAATTTTAAACACACAGTAACAGACACGTATATAACACACACTAAAACACATATATAACACACAGTAGCACACGTATATATAGAGAGAAAAAAAGGTGGGTGGGTTGGTGCGAGAGATTCTCTATGACTAATTAACATTGATAATGAGAACCAGAATCTCCTATATCAGGTCTTGTGGAGGACAAATGGCACAAATATACACACACATAAGCAATATTGCTACTTGAGAAAATTTCATACCAATTAACAAAAATAAATAAAAAATGATTCTAGTAAAAAAAAAATATGGGTTTTTTTTTGTTAAAGTACTACTAAAAAAGATGTTGATATAAGCAACATTTCAGTGTTACACACAAGCAATATATTAGTACATTACTAGTAAAATAGACGTTCCCTTATATGCACTCTTATAAGGGAATAAAAACTCCATACACTAAATTAATCCCTACCTCGATTTGAAAAACCCCATTGGATATAAATATATATGTATATTTATATACATGATCGTGTGATCACGTTCATGCTTCACCTCTTCCATCTATATATAAAATATATGTGTGATTGACAATCAATCATATATAGATGTAACATTTTTTTTTTGTTGTTGGACATTTGGGGTGTTTGGATTGGATGTTTGAGTAGTGTAGCTTGTTAATTATAACTCCATAGACTTTCTCCATCAGAATTTTCCGGCGAGTCGTCAGACTTCATTCTCGGCGGCGACACCAGCATTCCCTCCGCCATGTCCATCAGCAAATTGGGCATGTCAAACAATGCCTCCTCATCGACGAATTCATGACACCCACCACCGGCGGTGTCGTCAGTTCTTGATTCTCCGGCATCCGTGTCAGCTTTCATCAGCGCTGCTGCTGCAGAAGCTGCACTGCGGATATCCGTCGGCGACGTGGAAGCCGGAACTGGATAGGAAGGAGCATAATCCGGAAAATTCAGAATTGCATCACCACCTTTGAGGGCGGCGGCCGCCACGTCATAGGCGGCAGCCGCCATCTCGGGCTTCGGGTACGTGCCGAGCCATATACGCGTAGTCTTACGTGGCTCTCGAATCTCTGACACCCATTTTCCGCTCCGGCTTCGCACACCGCGATAAGTGGGGTGTTTTCCGGTACCAGGACGGCTAGGTGATCGACCAGAAGAGGTGGAGCTCATGGTGGTCTTATTATGTCTGTGGACGGTTTTAGGTGATGTATTATAGCACGTGGTGGAAGAGACAGGACATTGTGAATTGTCTCCCTGGCGTAGGTTTGTAGGGTGTGGAGGGTCAGCCATTATACAAAAAGCTAGTGTGTAAATGTTTTGACTGTTTGGATATAGAAATTAAGTGTGTGTGTGTGTGTGTGTTTGTGTGTAGAGTGAAAGATAAGAGGAAGATGTTGAGAGGGTATTTAAGGGGGAATGGAATGTTATGACAAAAAAGTGAAACCGTGGGGAATTCGTGGGCTTAATCGCGGTGAGTACTTGTTAGGGATTTTAGGGTTTTGGAGAGTGCATGATAGAGAAAGCACACGCATTAGGCGCAAGCTAGTAATTAGCTGTTATCTAACTTATTTCATACTATATACTACCTCACATAGTGCCATCAACTTCTCAAACAACCCTTTTTTGGGTGTTTCGTGGTTTAATTCCATTGTCTTTTAAGTGTTTGGTTACTAGGAGTTATTTGGCTATTTAAGTAATCCAACTAGCTATATGCATATGTGTGTGTGTGTGTGTGTGTGTGTGTTACAGGGTTACTGTGTTAGGAGTTATATATATGGTTATTTAAGTAATCCAACTAGCCCTGTGTGTGTTTGTGTTAGAAGTTATATGGTTATTTTAGTAATCCAACTATGTGTGTGTGTGTGTGTGTGTTTAGCTAGAAAGTCATCGTGCAAATTATGCAGATTGTGGAATTAATTCGTCCTTTGGTAGCTCAAATTAGCATGCTAAATAGGACTATTGACTATTAATTTGGCTTTTGAAACAAATAGGTTGGGGGATTAATTCAAACCGAGTCCTGAAATTCGTCTTTTACTGTTTTTGGGTCAAAGAATTTTCTTACCATGAATTAGGTGTTCCATGAATTAGGTGTTGTTCGTGTTTACTGTTTTTCGGTCAAAGAATTTTCTTACCATGAAACCTAATTACCTTGGATTAGCGACATAAGTATGTTAATTTATTTCGTTTATAACGACTCATTGTAACTATTTAATCTCCTCAGTTGAATGACCGTTTAATCTCATCAATTAAGTTTCATATTTTGGTATGTCACTTACCAAATTTATACATCAGATAATGAAATTTATTGGTCTTGAAATTACTTGCAATGATGTGAACTCCACGTAAATATGTTCGATGAGTATCTTTTAGTCATTTTTGTATGCTCAGAGTACTTAGTCTTATTATTGTCTTAGTTTTATTAAAGAGCTGATTATTATGATTTGACTAGTATATGAACTACACGTGAATATGGACGGTGAATGTCTTTTAATATTTTTTATAATCAGAGATTGTAGTCCTATTGTCTTTGTTTTATTAGTTGATTATTCTGATTTGACTAGCTAGTAAACAAAATTTTCTTTCTTTCTCGGCTGATTAGATAGTTAACCTGAAATTAGGAGCATCTAATTAGCAAGAAATAGGCTATATGTGGCCCACATTATATATGAAACAGATAGTGATTAATGGTTGAGTAATTGTTAAGCTATTTCATTAGTGCTAAGAATGTGAGTTACAAGTGATAGACCACATGTTTACTTATTGCTTTGTTGTAACCTTTTACTGTTTTCCTTTTAATGCACCCTAGCTTCGTCCCATGTTTGGTCAATTAGAAAAGGAAGGAAAATTCCAAACCGACCTAAAAGATCACAATGTCGTAAACAGTTAACCACCAATAGGATGACACGAAGAGCCAACAAAGATCACCTTCTTCCATGAATTGCTCCAAGAGCCAACCACAGTTCTTTGCCCCCACGAGATTTAGTATGTTTTGTGTTATCACTTTCATAAATACCGAAATCCATAATCCAAATGTTGCTAAACTGTTTGGACACTTAAAAAGTTGTTTGGACATGGGAAAGAGCTTTTCATTTAATTTTGATTTGTGGTTTTTGGTGAACAAATCAAATGTATCTGTACCTGTTTTAATTAAAAGAATTTGGACACAATTTGGTGTTTGTGTCCATTATTAAAAAATCTTTTAACTTTTATATGACCAACACTTTTTTTGTTTTGATAAATTTTATATGACCAACACTTTGTGAAGGCTTTTTGCTACATATATTTAAACTTTTATGGTGATTTTTAAAAGCACTCAAAAGTTCACTACCGAGTTCATACCGGTTTTAAGATATGAGGTGAGAGTTTTTGTCGCTTGGTCATCCTCTTGAAATTACATATGAATCATTTTAAGAGACCTAACAATAATATTTCTACATTTAAGCATGGTCTTGTCAAAATAAGGTTTTAATATAAAGATTTCGAGGCTATTCCCATAATGAGATAAAAAAAGAAAAAAGTGTTGAGCCAATATATTAATCATTTTAACATGAATATATAAAACCTTCACATTTTCATTCAGTGGATTGCATCCTGCATTTCTTCAACTAAGTTTTCAATTTTCCATTAATGGCCAGTTGTTTGTCTATTTCCTAAGCATTAAGGACACCCTATCTCTCCATATATACCTTTTTATTTGGATGTCTTTTCATCAATTATTCACAAATTCATTACCAGAACTAACCCTCAGTTTTAACTTTTGGAGATGACTGGCTCCAGTACTTTCAGTTAAAAATCTAAAGGAAGCTATTGACTCTCTCTCACAACTCCCAGCTCTTTTCTCTAACCACTCTAAAAGTTGTTTGGGAATTTTATATATATATATATATATATAAATATTTGACACAATATTAACATATACAAATTCACAATTAATTAAAACACAAATTAGTAAGAGATGAAAGTTACAATTAGAAATAAAATAAAATTACTTCTAAAAAAATCTGACCTGTGAGATGAAAGATACTCTCAGCTGGGTATGTGCACAATTTAACAAGAGTTGGGTAGTTGCCCATATAAATAAATAAGATGAATAGAATTTTGATGAGAGTTCAGAAAATAGTAGAAACACAGATGAGTAGTGGAGAAAGCACGTCTCCAAAGGCTAAACTAAAAGGCTAGACTAATGTAACTTTATATATATAGGCATAAAAGCCCAATGGTTAAATGCTATTATTAGCCTCACTAAACCTCAATATAATAGGTCCAATAAATCTTATTAAATCTCAACATAACAGGCCCAATAAATTGAACTAGAAACCTAATACAGTAAATCATCATAAAATCATAAATTAGTAAACATAAACATTGAATTGGACAAAAAAAAATTAAAAAATGAATGGGCTAGAATGTGTAACAGAAGCTTTAAAAACCTTTCAAATGTCAACAAGAGTCTTTTGTCTTTCTTTATAAACAAAGACTGCAATGTGGCTTTTAAGCTTGAAAATCTCCCTAATCTTGGAGTCCCACTAATCTCCTCCAAGCCAACTATTTTTGACTTAAAAACCACCCTTGTAGATAAAATGTCATTACAGATATCTTCTTCTTGGAGCTCCAAAGTCCTACCTTTTGATAACTGGTTGTCTTGTGGTCCACTTCATCAACTAATCCTACAGAACTCCAGACATAATGGTTTAGGTGTCAGTAAGTAAACAAAGTTACTTTCTTTAATCACTGAGGATCAATGCAACAACTTAATTCCCTAGAGCTTTCGTAGATAGCCTTTTCCATTTCTTTAACCCTCTCCTTTTTACTGCCAAGGTCCGTGGCCTAATGATATCTCATCCATTCTTTTTTAGAGTGAAAGGTAGATGATTCGAGTCTCCATTTCCAAAGTACGAGTTTTTTGCCTGAATTATATATATATATATATATATATATATATATATATTTAGGTGAAAATTTGCTTGCTACATGCCAAGTTTTCTGGTTTGGAATATTTATCAGTTTCTGCTAAGTTTCCATTGACTCAGGTTTTATTTTTATTTTTATATATATATATTTTTTTTGAATAATTACATTGCCTCAATTCAAGTCATGCTTTTCCTTGTCCTTGTCTTGCATGCTTCTTATGCTACATTTGATGTGCAGAAATTGAATGAAATGTAAGTAAAAATAGAATGAGAATGGGAATGGAATGGAATGGTTATTTTCATTCTATTGTTTGGTTGCATGTATATATGAAATGTGTAGGAATGAAATGATAATAACTATTATAGTGTTTGGTTAGACAAATTTAAAATTTAGAATGAAATCAATTTTAAATTGAATTCTCCAAAATATCCCTCTTAGTAACAAATAAATTAAATTAATAAAATGACATTCTCTAACAATTTTTAAAAATTAATGGTGGCAGCGGTAGTGGTGAAGGAGGAAAATGATACTGGTGTAGGTGGTGGTGTTGGAAGGCGGCGGTGGTGGCAATAGGGAAGGTGGCGGTAGTGGTGGTGGTGGAAGGCGGTGGCAACAGTGTGGTGGTGGTGGAAGGAGATAGTAGTGTTGGTAATAATGGTGGAAACCAATGGAAGTGACTGTGGTGGTGGTGGAAAGTAGTGGAGGTGGCGATCGTTGTGGTGGTGGAGGAAGGCGATGACTGTGGCGGCGGTGGTGGTGAAAGGTGGTAGAAGCCGGTGATGGTGGTGGTGTAAGGCGGTGGTGGTGGTGGTTGTTGTAGTGGCGAAGGCGGTGGTGGTGGTAGTGGCGAAAGGCGGTGGTGGAAGGTGGTAGTGGTGGTGAAAAGCGGTGGCGGTGCTGGCAGTGGCGATGGAAGGTGGTGGCGGCAGTGAAAAGTGATGGCAGCGGTGGTGGTGGAAAGTGGTGGCGGTGGTGAAAGGCAATGGCGGTGGTAGTGGTGGCGGTAGCAGTGTTGAAAGGCGGTGGCGATATGTGGTGGTGGTGGAAAGCGGTGGGCGATTGTGAAATTCGGTGTCGGTGGCGGTGGTGGTGGTGATAGTGGTGAAAAAACAGCTGAGGTGGTTGTGGTGGTGAAAAAATGGCGGAAGTGGTTGTGGTGTAAGATAGTGTTAGTTTTTGGACTTGGCATATGAGAGTTTTTTGGGAAGTTTATTTTAAAAAAAAAAATTACTTTGGAATGGAATGACCATTTCATGGGTTTAGTTGTGGAATGGATTGTCATTCCAAGAAATGAATTTTCATTCCAATAGAATGGCCATTCCCACTTTAAATTGTATGCCAAACAAAAGAATGATTGGAATGAACATTTCATTCCTGCACATCAAACGCAACATTAGTTCCATGCATTTTGTTTCTTAATTTGCCTCATGGTAAGGCAGCGCACACCTGACTCGGACTACTCAATTACAATGATTAATTAGCATTTTTTTAATGGTAAAGCAAATGTACACATCTTTTTGTCCATACTCGGACTCGAATCCCTTCCCTCCTCTTTGAAGATGGAGAGGTTATATCATTGAACCAAAAACCGTTCGATTTTTCTTTACAATTGTTTGAAGATCTTTTTCTATACTATAGGTTACAGTAATTCAAAGCTCTACTGCATTTGTCATCTAAGAAAATGTTGAATATTTTAGGTGAAAACAAAGGTGCACAAGGCACAAACATTGTTAAACATTTTACTTGTGATGACCATTTTAGAAAGAAAACAAAAGCTGGTGACTGAGCCAACCAAAACCCATTCTATTTTGACCTCAAAATTGGCCATCTAGTCATTACCGTCCAACATGAGCTGATTATGAAGGGGTCGGTACACATGATTAATGAGTTGGTTCTACCAGTGCCAGTCATTGACCAAGAAGCATGGAATGGGCCTTATAACAGGTGGTCCATTTTCACTTGTCATAGTACGTTTATACACATGCATACATATGTGTGTGTGTGTGTGTGTGTGTGTGTGTGTATTGATGCTAACATTGAGGGCATGCACTACCGTTAACATTTATTTAATCCAAATTGAATTGCATGATTGACTGAGTTGTAGCTCTCAATTGTCAATTTGATGAGAGTGACACAAGTTGGACCTATTTTTCCATTATTAGATCTTTACAGAAGGGGATCCAGGTCCTCATTTAAGTTCACTCTTGTCAGTTAGCTTTGAAAATAAAGAATCAAGAGTAGAACAGAGGGCCTTGCTTCAAATTCTCTCTTTTCCTTTCCAATAGGCTTTGTTTGGTGAGCATGAAACAAAGTGAACAGAAATTTTTGTGTTTTGGTAGTGACTTGGATCCCTTATCGAGGGATCCCACCAAAACAATATCGTCTACAGCACGGAGTTCAACATGAGTCACATAGAACTCTAACATAGGACCTGCATTGGCCGGGCTCCATTCCTGTACACCAAAACAACATCATTTGGTACACACCACGGTTCGTGTAGATCCCCAACATTGAACTTGCATTGGGTTCTGTACCTATACATCAAAACAATATTGTTCGGTGCATAGAACAGTGCACAAGTCCCTTCCGCACAAGAGGAGATCCACTTCCCCAACCGAAACTCTTGTTAGAGGCATTTTAACTACTGAAAATATGGTTTTTTTTTTAAAGAGAAAGAAAATAATGCTTAATGAAGAAGTTCATTTGTTTCTCCATGAACTCAACCTTGGTATCAAGGTTTGGTGAACTTTGTATATGCAATTCATATGTAGCAAATTATTCTTTTAGGAATTTTAACTTAAAAAAAAAAAATAAAAAAAAATTATTCTTGGAATATTAAACTAGTTGCAGAAGGTGCCGGCTTTCTTAGGATTAAACTACCCCACTATAAAACTCATCATGTCCTCAAAAGTCAAACATGTCCTTTTTATCATTTTGCTGTGATTGGCTTGTGATTATCATCAAAGAAATACTATCTCATTCCAATTATTTGTTTTATTATTTTCTGCAACCTTTCAATAAACAAGGAATCCTATGCTATAGATTTGCAATTATTTATATGTACATTAACTTGTAAATGGGACATACGCCTAGTATATATGTTTAAATTTATTTTAAAATTAACTAAAAAAAATTAATGAATGGGAATCAAAGTAGTTATATGAAGCTTACTAATTAACAATTTATTTGAAAAACTCCTATTACGTTTTAAATTGTTAAAATAGAGACACAAATTCAAATAGTTAACAGAAAATTCAACTTTTATCACAAATGTCATGTTTTGGTTTATGAATTCTCTAATCAATGAAACACATAATGTGAATAGTGTATTTCAACAATTTTTATCACATACATCTGCTACACACACACATACACACAGCAACAAGTATCTGCTATTCACAAATTGCATTGAGCTAGTCCCACAAGAAGAATGGGTTGAAAATTTGGAAAACCCACATCAATTCCTAAAATGAGAAGCAGAAACAGATGGATAAAAAAAGTTCTGACAACTAAAATAACTAAAACAAAGAAACAAATCAATTCACAGAAAAAACATATTGACTATATACAAATTTCAGGACTCAACTCCAAAATAAAATCCCAATTTTGCTGCGAAGTCCGGTCATCAATGGCAGAAATCGAAGTGTACGGTGATCACGCAGAACCGGAATCAAATGTCTCCCATTTTGTTGTCACCACAACTGGTGGTAGTATCTGCACTGTAGAATTCCTCTGCTTTTGCATTTGCCCAGTTGACTTCTTTTGTTGCTGTTGCAGTGGAACTTCAACCCCATTGCTGCCAATCATAGAATTCCTAATCTTCAGCATATCAAGCGTTTCAATATACTTTTGTACTCTCCTCACCTTCAAAACAACCACAACTAATTAGCTACCTCGTCGGCAGAGACGGACCAGGGAATTGTATAAGAGGGGGCAGCCTTAAATAAACAATAATATATCACAAGGTATAATTAGAAATTAAGTGGGGGCATTTTAAAATTTTAACAAAAATGTAGGTGCATTTTTTAGATTTTTTCAAAATTTTACAAAAAATGAAAAAATAAAAATAAATAAATAACTAAATAAATCAGTGGGGGCGGCTTCCCTCTCTAAACCCTTAATGGGCCTGCTAAGTGACAGGAATCGAAATGAAAGCGAATCCGAAAGTGAGAGCGTGAAAACGACAAAATTAAATCACAAATAGTGACAATGGGAGCAAAAGTACTCCAACGTGTAAAGTGTTAAGGAAGATTTTGTGACTTAAGGATCTGTGTCGGCTCTTTGGATTATCAATAGAATGTTAGGAAATTAGAAAACTATATGAAAACTGTTTAGTGTTTTAGGCACCTGTCTTTAGTTTTCTCTTTTTTTGAGTTTCGTTTTCTTTTAGAAAACGGAACCAAGAAAACCCTATATTACTATAAATGTGAGGCCAAGGCTAAATTTAATATTACTACAGAAAAACATCAAAACAAACCTGCATTTTTCTCTTCAATTTCACATCTCCATCTACTACTATTCCATCCAATTTGATCAGTTGTGTCATCAACAATTCGATCAAATTCAACAACTCTCTCTCCACCACTTTCCTGCCGCCAAAAATTTCCGACTCCAAAGCTGCAACCTACCAATTCCATTACATGAACCATTGATCAAAACTTATAACTCAATTAGTTCTATAGACAATAGCATTTAAATACTAAGTTTTTCAATACAATTGTTGTACCTGCTTAGCAAGCTTATCAACTTCTATTCCAACTTGTGATATTGCTTTCGATACCTCGTCCATCTTTGCATTCCTCTGCAATTCAAGAAGTCGTCTCTCTCGGCTAACAACATCCTCAATTACTACAATTTTCGATCCATCCTTCACTCCTACCACGTCCAGATATGATCTTGAATCTCTCTCCTTGCCCTTATACATCAATTTCTGATCATTTGGGTGCAACCCAGTTCGTGATCCAACCATTTTCTTCAATTCCCCTGCATCCCATGTCAATTTCCATCAATAAAAATGGCAGAGAATTCATGCCAACGAGTTTAAAACGTAAAAAACGGAAAGAGAGGATTCATATGGCCGACACTATTCATATGAGAATAAGGCAACGATGATAACTCTATATAAAAACATAGATACAGTCATATATATATATATATATATAGATAAGTTGAATTACCAAAGTTTGCTTGAGGACTGATGTTGACTTCATGATAGGATGATTCATACTTGACCCTGACTTTTATGGTGGGAATTGGAATTGAAGTTTGAGTTGGATCCAAATTCCGCTTTTGTACCAACATCCCCCCTGGTCTGATTTCCCATTCTGCCACCTCCGAACCACCACCGCTGGCGGTGGCGCTTGCTTTCGCAGATGACAACTTTCCGGTGGCCTTTGGCTTCATAGTTGACAAGGTATATTTGTTCAATTGTTCTTGACATACATTGTTGTGAAGATCAATACAGTGTATGATATTCTTACACAGCAAGGAACATCACGAGTTTTAAAATGTTAAGTTTATAGGAAACCGATCAATGAAGAAAGAACCCTGTCTGACCCACTAAGTCAGGACAACGAATTTATTTTTTTTATAAGGAAAAAAAAATTTATAAATATTTGAAACTTATAAGGATCACATAAAATCAAACAATTATAAGCAACCATATAAGTCTTATCTGTGTAAGTCAAACGAAAATAATTATATGGAACTATCCATTATCTGTAAAACCAATAGTCGTCTATATATATAATTATATATAGAGAGAGAGGGGCCAAGAAGAAGAATAATTTTAATGATAATGGCCAGCTAAGATTGTGTTGGGAGAGACTGATAAGAATTACTATATACGTATTAAAATTTTGATAGTTAATTTTTTTTTCAACTATACTTATTTATTACCAAAAAAAATATATCGGTTGTCTTTATCGTTTACAACAAATAATACTACTACTATTATCATCCAATTAAAAGTAGCCGACGAATTCAATAATTTCTCTCTCTCAATAAATTGATACTTAATTTCAGTCAGGCCAACTAAGCTTGTGATCAAATGATATTCTTTTCCTTAATAAGCGAATGGTATAGGGTTTAAGTTCCTCCAAGTGAATGGTAAGAATTTGTAAGACAAAAAATAAAATAATGATAATAATAATCTCAAATAGTCAGAGTCAGAATAACTATATCTTTTACAAAGTTACTTGTTTATGGGTGAGAATCCATTGATTAAGATGCTGCAAAAATGAATAACTGTATCTTTTAACAAGTTATTTCTGTTCCTCTCAAATAAGGCAGAGCCAGGATTTGAAAATAGGGGGGGCTAAAAAAAAATTGAAGTAGAGAATTTACTGTGAAAAAAAAAATTTCAAGCAAAGAAGATAAATACGCTAAAAACAATACCACATTATGCCAAACACTCAAACAGCCCCCAAGTCTTCTTCAATCTTTTAATTCTAATTTGTTTGTAGACTTGTTTAATGGGCTGGGCCATTTATCATTTATATTTTATTATGGATTGGGCAGCTTAGGTTGTGCTGGGCTATAGCCAGGTTAGCCCACAGGGAGCTCTGCCCCTGCTCTCAAACCGATCTTGTAAAGTGGTTCCTGCAAATCACCTTCCAAGAAGACCGAACATTTTTACAAGTAAAAATTTTGATGTTGCAATTGGGAGCGTATTTTAGATTTAGATTTGTTGAAATTTTAGTTTAAATTTTTAAGTAAGAGTGTGTTCGGTTACATGAAATTGAAACTTTAGAATTGAAATTGTTAAATTTTCTACAAATTCCAATTTTAAGGCTCCAATTATGCAACCGAATAAAGTTACACCCCTTTGGCTAAGTCTTAAAATTGAAATTGTTAAAATTTGAAAAAAGTTTGATTAAATTGTTTTTCTCAAATTCCACGGATTCCAATTCTAAAATTTTAATTTCATATAATCGAACACATCCAAATTTATTTCCAATTCCAAATCCAAGCCACCATTACCTAAATTGCTTCTACTTTCAAAATTTCTTCCAATTCGGTGATCTCAAACACAGATATTTTCTCACAGCACCAAGCGGAAAGGGACCATTTTTCAGAGTCATAACAGTTGCATTTATGTTATAACAATGCTCACACACTTGTCCTTTAGTGTCATCAAGTAAAATAGTTCTGGCTTCACAGCGCATATTGGGACTGCTAAAACTCATCAGTTTAGTGAAAAAAAATAAAAAAATTGTCCCGGGAAAAGCGCAAGTAATAGAAATTAAAGTAAATTAAAATAAATTAAACCAAAATCAAGTTTTCAGTAGGCATTTGGTTAGCTTTCTTGGGTCAAATATTCAAAATATTATATGTATCACGTATATGAATGTACTAACAAATGAGTAGCTGTCTGGTAAGTTGGTTGGTGCTCATTTTAGAGGGACACTGCTGTCACTTTTGTTCAAACAAACATCACAAGTGAACTCTTTGTTAAAGAACCCAATCTTATGCAAACTATAAAAAACCCTGTCGATATCACATAATTCATTCGCGCTGTTGTAAGCACGAGCAATAATGGAGAGTGCGAATGTTTACCAGTGAATACAAATTGAACTACCACCTTGATAGCTCTAACCATGAGATTGCACCACCCTCAGGCATCTCTTACATTATCGAAACAGAAAAAACTGTTCGGGATTTTTCAGCATTATCCTACATATGTATAATCCAAAACTCTTGAATTATTATCAAGAGGTGGGGTTAAGGCCAGTTCATCACTTGGTGGAGTGGTCCAGATTCCATGCCTACAGCCATTTCCTCGGCCAAATTGGCCACAATGAAACGACTCGACATACCTCAAGATGCAAACCAACATAAAACCACAAACCAACAATGAGGGTCCTACAATCTTCGAGTCTCTGGTTTCCGTTCCTGGACAATTCAATAATACAATGTAGCATAAGTTTAAGATGGAAATTTTAGCAAAGTCACATAAAAACAGTGGAATAGATCATGAAAAAGTAACTCTTGCTTGAATTTATCAAGCTTAAAGAAGGTTCTTTTTCCTGAAATAAAAAAATAAATGCAGTCAAAGTATCTACGGTTTCTATAGTGAAACCTCTCACACTAGCTGCAAGTTCTGAAAGCACATGAAACTAAACCATTCTTTCAAGTTTAGCGATGATCTTGAAACTTGACCAGTTTAGAGCTGTTAATCACACACATCCATTGAGGTGTGGGGTGAACAAAGATATGTTCTAAATGGTCCCAAAAGCAAAGCACACATATTCCTCTATCTGTTTTCCGGGGCTGTGTTCCAGATTTCTCTGCTGCATTTCTCATGTCCACTTGTGTTCTTTGTTGATTTTTTTGTGGTCCATCAGCTATGCTTGTTGCATTTTTCTGTGGGCCCTGCTGATTGTGTTTTCCATCTTTATTCTGATGTATTTTATGGATATATTTTCAATTGTAAAATGTTTAATTTTTTTAAATTAATTTCTGATAAATGAAATTTTGGATTATATGCATGTCTTCTATATGATATGTTCTCTTGAATCAATGTCTCTTAATATGAATATTTGTGATTACATATTTTTAAAAAAGAATTAAATAATTGTATTATTCCAATGTTCCAAATTTGCAATAGTATATGATTTTTTTTGCATGTTGTAAGTGACATGCACCATTGCGCCTTACCTCACTCAAGCCCGCACCTCGCCTTGCACATTGCACCTAGGCTCCAATAGACCTTTGCGCCTTAGTTCACCTTTAATATGTATATGTTACTATTACCATCTTTATAATTTTCCCACTGTTCTTTTTCTTTTTTCCTCCGAAGTGAAGTGTTTGTTATCCTATCCTGTCTCTTGGCTTAGTTACGGCTAGCCGCTAGCCACCGCCCAACTCCTGCAGAATTACCACTCAATCCCTCATCTCTTTCAAGTAATCAAGTGGGATCAACAAACATACCTCCAAAGCACAAAGGCCAGTTCTTCATATTGTTTTACGACTATTACATTTTTCTCTTTTTTTGTTTGGTATAATTTCTCCTTTTTTTTTCCTTTTCTTTTTCTGGTTAATCACTTGGCATATATATTATGAGAAAGATGTTTCCATAATATCTATAGACATATCCAAAGATGATCCGGTAAGAAGAGGAAGACTAATTTGCATAAGGTAGAAGGCAAAGAGAACGACCTAAGTTGACTTGGGATGAATTCATTAAAAATGATTTGAAGATAAATGTTATAAGAGAGAATGCTTGTAATAGAAAAGAATGGAAAAAGGGAATTCACGTAGCCAGCTCCATTCATATGGGATTAAGGCAAGGATGATGATGATGTTTCCTAATACTAATGTGGTTTTATGAAAAGGTTGCAAAGTTGGTTGTTTATGTGGATGCAGTGTTATCAAAGGCCCAAGGCGCATTACGGCGCAAAAGATCCTTTGAAGCCTAGGCGCAAGGCGAGGCGCAAGCCTGAGTGAAGCAAGGCGCACAATTGAAATTTTAAATTACTATTAAACATAATTCATATTCCATATTAAAGGCGCAAATGTTGTCATAGGCGCACCTGGGCACAAAACAGATGCAAGTGTTGCGCCTGTGTGAAGAAACGCCAATGCTTGAGAGTAAATTATTAAGTGAATGAGCTTAACAACTACAAAGATCAGAACATATGTTACAGCTTGTCAAAAAACAAGTGATGCAGCAAAAAGCAGTGTCCTAATTCCATACAACAGACGCAAGTGTTGCGCCTGTGTGAAGAAACGCTGATGCTTGAGAGTAAATTATTAACTGAATGAGCTTAACGACTACAAAGATCAGAACATATGTTACAGCTAGTCAAAAAACAAGTGATGCAGCAAAAAGTAGTGTCCTAATTCCATACACTCCAAAAAGCAGCAGGAAATGGGATTCTACCTCATTGCTCTTTAACAGCTTTAGACCTGGCAGGCCTTGCGGGTTTAATTACTTTACCGAGGAGGATGATTACTATGGGAAGAATGGTCCCAATGAAATATACACTCCCATATGCAGTAATTGTTTCATGTAGGCTTAATACCTGTGACATACAGGCAGAGAAATATTAAACATTTGTATAAGATTACAGCTTTAAAGATAATTTCATTTCTTTCCATGGAAGAGGGGGAGAAAAACTAACCATAAAACCAACACAAGAGTAGTTCAACACCAAAATTGTGTAAGAAATGTTCATAAATACTAATGCCTTCTTAATCAGAGCCATATTTGTAGGAATAGCTTGTTGCCATCTGTAAATAACTGCTCATACAAATATGGAATAAAAAATAAATAAAAATTAACGCGATCAAGGAAACAATTAACTATCTAAAATTTTGAATTGAGGACCAATTGTAAAAAATATAAAAAATAAAAATAAAAAGGAACCACGACTGTTACCTCTTGAACCTGCAATCATCAATGCTGACTGCACAAAGAATATGATGTACCCAGGATATAATCCCTGTAATATGATGAGAGCATTTAAACAATAAATTAACTTATTGAATAAGGAAATTTTAAAGATAAAAACTTATCCTGAAACCCGGAAATATGACTCAGTTCAAATGTTATAGAGTGAAGCATTTAATGAAACAACGCGGTTATTGAAGCAGAATATGTGCAGCAAAATTCACATGCTAATACTCGTACTGAGATAATAATTGATTATATAGATTGAAGGAAATATTAAAATATTAGGGGGGAAAAAGAAAAAAAAAAAAAGAAGAAGGAGATACAAGGTTTTTGGGACAAGAACATTGATTTATAGTTATAGCATCCTAATGTTGATCCATCTAGTTGGGTGCACGACAAGCCAAATAAGTTTTGGAAACAGTGAAACCAAATGAAGGAACAGGTAAGAGTTCACGAGGACAAGGCTTGGCTTAAGAAAGATTGAAAATAATTGCATAAACAATGAAAGCTATTATTACCAAGAACCAAACAAATAGGTGATGGCTTGCATTGGCATTGACCCAGTTTCAAGAATATACTTTCCAAAAATCTTCTTTTAACAGGCACAAGACAGATCTGCTCGAAGATATCAACTGACAAAACCACATAAACTTACAGAAAACACATCAAAAAATATTCAGTGAACCACAATCACATGCTGCTTTTCTGGCAGAAAAAACAAAGTTAACAGAGATGATGATAACATCCATCAGATTATAGAAGTTCAATGATAAATTTATTGCATTCCACACAAATATTATATCATGTCAAGGTAAAAGAAAAATGCATTTGTCACACAAAACATGCCGAGCAGTACTACTTTTAATCCACACACATTCACAACCAGTGGAATGTTATATGCTAATTATATTGTAAACAATTGCCAAGTTATGAAACAAACAATATTAACTCATCAATTGACAAGCTAATCATTTTATTGACAGCATAAAGCTTAAGTCTATACTCACATGCCAAATAGCACTGACAGTCTGTGTAGCCAGCAACTGGAAGAAACCAGGTTTCTTCCCATTCTGAATGAGCCTCTCGTAAACATCTAATAAAACACCAGAATATTAGATAATGGATAGAATTTATCACTTTAAAAATCCAGAGAAAAGGCAAAATGTTATATAACGGATGGAAATATCACATTGAACAGTCGAATCATGCTTCACAGATCCAAACCCATTTACAACTTACATAAACTCCCGTCCTGACAGTTTTATAGTATGAACAATTAACCCAACAGTCCCAGGTCCATCGCTATTCATAATAATTTTAGATGAAATCACAAAAAACTTAAAAGGAAACGTTTCATGTTGATGTTATTTGCCAATAATTTAGTGCTATAAGATGCTTCTAATGAAACTTAGCAGTAAAATTAGAGATGCGGAGAAATGTATTAGAATTAAAATGCTTAAAAATTAGTAGGACTAAAACTGAAATGTGCAATGTAAAGTTAATAACAATTCGTCGTTGATATTATAATGACACACTTCAAAATCGAGGATTACCCAAAATAACCAAATTTTTTTTTTATATTTAAGATCAATACAAAAGGGCGATGAGATAGATGGTGATATAACTAAATACAATTGGATCAGGTTGCACGAACTGGAGATAGCTTAGTGGTGTTTTATGTGATGAAATAATAACAAATAAATTAAATGAAAAAATTTACAGAACAATTATTAGGCCAACTATTTTTTATGGAGCAGATTGTTGGGGGGTTCAAAAAGAAACAAAACAATGAATGCATGTAAATGAAACGAGGATGTGAAGATGGATGGTAGGAATGACTAAAAGAAATAACGTTATCAATCAAAGTGTGAGGGAGAAATTAGGAATGACGCTTATTGGTGATAAAATAAGAGAAAGTAGACTTGAGTAGTATAGACATATTCAACAAAGGCCTATAAATGTACACATAAGAGGAGGAAGACTAACTTGTATGGCGATCGAAATAATCAAGGGATGAACTTACTAAAAATGATTTTAAATTTTAAATGATATAAGAGAGATGGCTTGTAATAGAAAAGAATGGAAAAAGATAATTCGTGCAGCCGACCTCATTTATATGAGAGATTGATGATGATTTAACCCAACCTCTCAGACACTTGGAGTTAAACATATTTAGCTGTCTATCCTCATCAGATTGGCATCATATGTTTACCCACCCAAGTACAACCTGACCACCCATCCCATCACCATTCATTCTCCTACATCTTGATATTTGATATAATATTTACAGCCAGCTAAACTGAAATTAATGAACTTCAGCATTCCAAACCAATTCATGACAAACATTTGAACCATGGAATCTTGTATCTTTTGCACTTTGCCCATATTCTTAATATAACATTAACCAGTGCTCCAAAATGTTAAACCAATGACTTCGGGTCATTTATTTGATTTCAGAACTGGGTAGTTAGTCAAGGTCAGGTTTCATAACAGTTTCCAGTATGAACATGTAAGTATTTTCTCCAACTATGAACAATGCAAATGCTGTACGACTTTCTGGATTTAGGGTTGGTAATGAACTGAATCACGATTTCAAACAGGCATCATAACTATTAACTGTATATTTGTGATAATCTTAAATTAAAGGTATACAAATTTGACCAAAAAAAGAGAAAGAAATGAATTAAATTCCTTTCCTCCAATCAGATCGCAAGTATACATATATTGAACTCAAACAAAATCCATATTTAGCTGTGTTTAGGTCTTTCTCACTGCACAGATGAAAATTCAGGTTTTCTGGCTAAACACTAAGAAGTACCAACATGCTACTGAGATAGCAACGAAAACCTCTAGAAGATGGGAAAAGAAAACATTTAATTCTTGGAATTGATGGAAACTCACAATGACGTAGCCAGGTACTGACTTGTATGTTCCATACAAGTGGAATCTGAACCGCACTCTTTGCGAGTTCAACGCCCAAAATATCAACATTTTTTGCACGGTCCCATTGTGGTTTCGGTGGAGAAGAATCTGTCCAGCCACTGAAACCCAGGCCAGAAATAATGATAGAAGCTTCTGAGATTGACCAGATGAAATAATACTTCCAGCGGGCTGTAAAGCCAGACATGTACTGGTATTGCAATCGCTTCCAGAACCCCCACTCTTGGTACATGGGATCAGTAAATCGGGACAGCGGATAATGGGGGACCAGGTACAAGTACAAGCCCATACAAAAAGCAGCTTGGACGAGAGCTCTGATTGTTGCCCCATAAGGTGATGGTGGTTGTTCCTTCTCGGGATGCATCCAAATCTGAGAAAAATATAATAATCAAAGCTGAGCACTGATTAATTTCACTGAGATAGATGTACAAAATTGTTAGAACTACAGAAGCATGCTAACAAAATAGTTGAATTACCCCCTTCCTTTTTGTCCACTCAAGATAATCTTTCATTTCATAAACTGGCCCCGCAAAGTGACTTCCACAGCAGAGGCAGTAACCAAAGTATTCAACTAATGAAGGCAAATTGAGCAACCGATTTTTCTTTTGTGCCTCACGCAGACCTTCCTCCTTTAATAATCCATCATTATAATTTATTGCACAAGAAATGACTTTCAGTGTTAACACCATTAAGGCACCTATATATTGGAAAAACATAACTTATTCAGGATTATAGAAAATGTATAATTTGGTGTGGAAAGGTTCTTAGATATGTAAGTTGATTTACGAAGTTACTGATGTGCAACCAAAAGGAAAAAGAGGCAAAAATTAAAGGTAGGACAAATACATAGCTTATGTAGACAATCACACCTTTATATATGAGTTACAATTTAAAAGAACCAATTGATTTTGTTGACTATGCCCTCCAAAAACATAGCATTTAGTCAAATTTTCTTAAAGAATCATAAGTTTACCTTTAAAGACGAACAAGTTTCACATTGTCGATCCAGGTATTTTCCAGTATGAAGTCAGTAGACGGTAGTTAAACAGGTCTTATCCTTGTAAAAATTCCTCCACGATAATTTTTTTTTTTTTTTTAATGTGATGAGGCCATTGAATCGGATTTCAATATCCAACGAGGATATGAGGTGTTCAACAATGCATCCTTGAAATGAATAAGTAGCAGCATTGGCATCAGGGCCCAAAAACCACAATCATAACAGCAAAAGGTATTAAAACCTTCTTGTTACAGAGGTAATTCAAATCAGTAAAGTGCTGGCATTCTATTCACAGCCCATACATATTTTATGGATAATATGTTTTAAAGTTTTATCATATCTCAATTGCCTTGCTTTCTTTCTTTTTTTTTCTCTTTTTCCTCAAAGACAACAACAATCTTCTGTGGTTTAGAGAATGTCTCTGATGACTCAAAAGTGGGCCAACAAGAATCTTATGCAATAAAATGAAGCTAATAATCCTGCCTTGCTCCCAGGGGCAAACCTAATACAGTTTCCATGGAGAGCCAAACTAACTGCATAATACGATAAATTGGGAAAAAGAAAAAAATAATAAAAATCACTTAACCAATTTTTCTTCTCCAAAGGAAATAATGAGCTAAAGAATTTTCCAAACTACAGAAATGAAATTCCATGTTAAAGAAGAACTTCTAATTAATTATATGTAAATAAATAAATTATATCGTTGGAATCCTACATGATTTTTTTTATTATTTTATTTAACGTTTGAAAGAAAAAATTACTTCAGTACTTTCTTATAGCTGGGATTTTTATTAGAATTGAATAGTAAAAACATGTGGATCTTTATCATACTTCCAAGATTATCAAAAGGGTTTAGCATGTCATAATTTGAAATTTAAAACAGTGGACCAATTGCTAGGATCCAAAATACTATATCTTACCCATCATCAAGGATATGTTTGTTTCGCTTCTATTGCACATTATCACTTTTGAGAATTACATACCAAATTATCAACCACGTGCACAAACAAAACACCAAAAATAAAAAATAAAAAAGAAGGTCCAAAGTGAATTAGAAACCTACTCATAATTAAGATTTATTAAAATTCTTATAAAGTTCATAGACCAACAAACATGTGCTTTTAAGCTTTTCATTTCTGCCATTATATCAACTTCTTTAGAGCACAGGGACTTCAATTATCACCTTTGACCTTACCCAAATAATCTACTTAGGAAGAAGGCAGAGATAATTCTTACCAGTAGCATCGATACCTCCTTCCTTCCATGCATCCCCACTCATGTAGTATACATGGCTACACATGTATTCAAAAAGTCAAGAATTTTGAATAACTTCTCTAAATAAAAAATAAATAAATAAATTGCAAGTCTTAAATAAGTTCATATCTCTAAATACATAACAAAGATTCCCATTTAATTTTCATATAATAAAAAATAAAAAAGGAGTGAAGCAATGAGAGAACTTGTACACACGAGTTGAATTTAGCAAAATGGCAAATAAGGATGCATAAAGCCGACCACCAATGTAATTTGATTTTATATTTACTTGTTTTCATTCAAAAAAGCCTAGTCATGAAACTGGCGACTTGTGACTTGAAGACTTTGTAGAAGTGCTTTTAGAGCCTTCCAAAGTAAGATCAATATATCAACAAGCAAAGCATATTCCTCCACTAAGAAATTAAACTTCTGCTAACTCCAATATATGAACCTCCTACTGTATAACTTGTCACTTAGAAGCCATCAAAACGTGCATAAGCCTAGCACAATTTACAGAGAAGAAAAAACAGAAGGCCATAAAATATATACGCATATCACATTGACAATTTCACAATTACACTTTCCTGAAGAAAGCCCCGAAATCCCATTAACGTGAATATGCCAATCAATTTAATCCCATAAGAAAGTAGCATTTTCTTAAAATTAAACTTAAAAATTAAATATGTTTGTATCCTGAGAAAACAGAGGACAGTGAAAAGAAATAATTTGAATCTCTCCCATTCTTGTTAATTAATTGTCCATTAAGCAATATAATTGTATTAAAACTGAGTATGGGTTTACCCTTTTTTCGAGTCACATTCAATGCAAACATTAAAATGTCTACATTTTTTTTTCAATATATATATATATATGAACAACATTATAAACGAGACATGGAAGATATATAATGTCGCAAGTTTAGAAATTAAACAATCAGATACGTACCAGCCAATGAGGTAACCGAATCCGAGGAAGAAGGTGATGAGGCCGCATCGGCGACGATAGAGGACCATGGAAGCGTAGCCTAGGAACATGGGGACCAAGAAGTGGAGGTTGGAGGAAAATCCGAAGGAGAGGTAGGAGAGGATTGCGCCGGACGTGGCGGCGTAGAGGTGTTTGGCGGTTGGTCCACCGGGGATGAATCTCCAGAGGAAGCTGACCGGAATCGTGACCACAAAACACAACAAAAATCGGAGAACGGGGACGGAAACCCCGATCGCCGAGGCCATAGCTTCCATCTCCATGTCCTTCGTGGTCGGGTCTGACTCAACCCTTCTGTGTTCAATGTCTTCTAAAGCGCGGCCAGAAAACAATATAAAATATACACTGGCGCAAGTATGTAAAGAGTAATGCTAGAATGAGGTGAATCTCATGATACTTGTCATGGGCTTTTGCTATAAATTACATTTTGAACAACTCATTCTTATTCTTTATATATATAATGAAAATATATATTTAATTTCCTTATTTTAGCCAAATTTTATGTATTGAAAAACATAATTAATGTATTAAAAATAAAATAAATATATTGAAAAACTTAAGTAAGTGCATTGAAAATTTTAAATTAATGTGTTAACAAATTACAACATCATTCAGACATAAAATGAAATATGAACCCAAACTTCTTGTATATTGTTTTCATTCGTGTTTGTTCTTTATCAGTGCATCATTAATAACTTTACATAACAATTTTACATTATTTATGCAATAAATACAAGACAAATGCAATGAATCTCTTGCGGAGGCGATTCGAAATCAAATAAATATATATAATGAAAAAAATAATAATAATATAATTAATGTACTAGGGAAGAAAGTGTAATAAAAGAGAGATGGTCGGTTGATTTAGGGATGAGAGAATAAACAAAAATACATACAAAAATGAGGGGAGTTTGATTTGGGATTTATGGTGGATCATGGATGGGCAGGCGAGGACAAAAGTCTGGTGAGGGACATAAATTTAGATTGCTTTGTGATTGGTCGACGGGCTAAAGATTGGGATGTTAGCAATACACGCTCTCTCACTGTGTGCCAGTTCGGTGGTGTTTCCCGGGGACAATTGTGGTTTCAATTTAGAAATCAAAATCCTCCTGCAACTTCAAATTTCACGTCATGTATTTTAAATTTCAAAATGCTTTTTTTTTTTCTTTTATTTTTTTGGTTAAAATAAATTTCAAAATGTTGTTAATGATAAGTTGATAACTTTTTTTATTTTGTACACAATATATTTTTAGGGAACGAATTCTCTTCAACAAAAATTCTCTCCAAGTAGCTACATGTATTAATTCTAACTATCTAACTATGTTAAATTACAAATTTACCCACATTAAAAAATAAAAAATTTCTCTTTCTCCTCTGTTCCTTCTCTCTCCTATATATATATATATATTTGTCAATTCCAATTAAAATTGATTATGATCCTTCAACTTGTATTTACATCCGATTTAGGAAATTCAATTATAGTTCTCCAATAATATATATTTAAGAGTTTGAACAGTTTTGTTGATTGCCATCACCAAGCATTTGAATTATTAATTGATTAGAAGGCTTCAAGCTTGAACAGTTTTGGTAATTGAAGTTTTGAAGCATTTGTTCGCCACTTTTCAACGGATTCTTGTGAACCCAATTTGATGAGACACACAACCCTCTGGAACAACATAGAAATAAATAAAGAAAGATAAGGTTTGAGAGAGAGAGAGTTTGTCAATGGCGGATCAAGAAAAGGAGCAAATTGGGTCTGGTCAAGCCGTGATCGCGAGTTACATGCAACATCATCAGTGAAACTGACTGATCTGGGTTTTGGGGTTGTTGAAGGGAATGAGGAAATGGGTTTGAATGATTTGGAGCTTAAGCAAGGGAAAGATGGATCAAAGAGAGGGGGTTTGTGCAATTTTGAGAGGGGTTGAGGTAACTCCGTCCATCTCCTCTTTTGCCCTCTCTCTCACTCTATGTAGGGGTTTCATTTCCATAGACAAAGATGATACTTTTGCAGTGGGCTCGATCTAGGGTTTCTTCGACCTTGGAGATGGTCCTGTTGTAGACATGGAAGCCATATCACAAGACCCATGGCCGCCTTCTCCGAGCACATGAACGCCAGAGACATCATCACCAAGACTCCGACAGTATATAATTTGTATGTATATATATATATATATCTAGCGATGTGTGTGTGTGTGTGTGTATATATATATATGTTATATATATGAGAGAAAAGGAAGAGATGAGAAAGAAGAAAAAAAGTTTTTTTTAATGTGGGTAAATTTGTAATTTAACATAGTTAGATATTTTTAAAAAGTGCAGTAACTTTTAGTATATTCAGTGAGTCAAAGAAGTTGTTGATGTGGCGCCTTGATAGTAGTATGATTAGTACTTGTAGATGCTTGGAGAGAATTTTTCTTAGAGAGGATCCGTTCTCATATTTTTAGGGACAATCCTTGGGTCCTCTATCTAAGAGGATGAAGTTCATTCTCCATATGATGTGATCTAATGTCATTGAAACATGTGTTTAAAAATAAAAAATAAAAAAAATTAAAGACGGGCATTGCCCATTTTTTGCAGGTTAAACCGTTTTTTTTTCCTTTTTTTTTTTTTTTTTCCTTTCGTTCTGCAACACGATCTTCTATCTTTCTCTCTCTTCACGATGAAGTAAATATCTTTCCATCTCCATGTCCAACCTCCATCCAAAACCCTAGCAGCAATGCCCTTAAAGAAAGCTTTTAACTTTAAGAACGTATACGACGACCGAAACAACGCAACCGTTAATAAGCCAAAATTGCAAGAATTTTAGACATGTACAATCACAATTTGGTTTTTTTATTGCTCCTCTTATCTTCCTTAAGGCAACCTTGCATATAATCTCATAATTTCTTTTGAAAATAATCTATTCATTGTACCGGAATGGACTTCAAATTACCGTACAATGACTCGCCCAGTTTTTGTTTTTGTTATTTCTTCATATGCCATTAATTATAGAAATCTCAACATTTTTGCAATTTACACCAGAAGATACTCCGCTGCAAGGAATAAGCCATCGATGTACCAGTTTGATTGTAATGAGCTGCGAGGCCAATGAAGTGATATGGATGGCAATAGAGTCAACGTGATGGGTAGGTGTAATAAGGGTCATTTGTCCCACATCAGATCCAGATGGAAAAGTAATTGGGTATAAATGGGTGGATATGCAGCATTACCCAACAACTTGAGCTTTTTGGTAAATTGGCAAGCGCCCACCTGTTACAATTGGTATCAGAGCCAGACCCAATCCTTGATCCAGTGTCACGCCAATAGTCTGGCTCGAAAGACATCCAGATAGGCAGGGTGGTCTGATCGCAACGAGGGCATTACGTAGGTTTAGGTAGGGGAGAATATAACAAGGGTCATTTGTCCCACACCGGATCTGGATGGAAAAATGATTGGATATAAATGAATGGGTACGCAGTACTACCCAACAACTTGAGCTTTTGGATATATGAGCAAGCGCCCACTCGTTACAGGCGATCTTCATAGAGCGTCATAGCAAATGCACCTAATAGGTGAAAGCAAAACGGAAGCATTTAATAAAATTTCAGGATATTATCTATTTGATTTTTCATCAAATCAAGAAATACTAAAAAAGGATCTCATACATTTTGACAATTGATCGTCAAATACGACATCACTCCGAGAACAACAGTGAAACGCACTCACGCACTCCTCCTTTGCCCTGAACACCAGTGAAACCTCACCTCTATAACCCCATAATAGATGGTCTAACTTGTGGGAACCACGTGTCTATTAGCCTCAATCTCTTTATTTTCAAAAGACTGTTTTTACGTCTGATAATTTGTAATAGAGACCTGAGGGCAACGACAATATATGCACCATTTAAGTAATAGGGCTAGAGATGAGGATCAAAGTAAATCCTTATCTTAGCTCCAATTGGATAGAGGTTGAGTTATCTCATAACTCTACCATATCCAATTAATTACAATAATTACCATTATAATATTGTAATTGCACTCTAAGATTTAGAAATTACAAAAAAACCCTATCCTACTAAATAATTACATATAAACCCCTCCATTACCGAATATCCATAAATAGCCCCAAGAAAATATATACTGTCCCACCTAAGGCTTACTTATATTTTATATTTGTTGAGTAACCAATTTAATCCTTATGATCACTGAATTAAATTATTTTATAAAAAAAATTTACAAAATAAATATTTTTCTAAATAAATAATTTAGTAAACATTTTACTAAAATGCCCTGGCCAGGTTCCAATGATCAAACTTATTAAATTGCATCAAGAGGATATTTTAACTCTTAGTGAGTGTGGATTTCTTATTAAGCATTTGTGTTCTCACAACTTCAACATTAGTCACCCAAGATACCGTGATATTGACCTTAAAAGATCTCACACATTGGTAAGTCAAAGTAACTAGTACTGAAACATGAGTTCACTGAACCTTTCATGATTTAGAGCCTAATGAATTTAGTAGATAAGAATCACACTAAAATAATGACAATAATTTGTATAGTGTGATCTTACGGTGATCCAATTCAGTGCACTCCAAGCGCACTAACACATTGACTTAGAGTCAACTACCTTAATGGTTGAGACAAATCATCATATCTCATAGAGGTAAAGTGTGTTGCAATCTTACAGATAAAAATGCCCAGATTTTACCATCGACTGCGAACAATGCCAAGGTGCAAGAAAATTAGTGAGCTTAAATCTCCTGTGTGTAAATCTCATTCACACACTTAAGTCACCTACGATGCAACTTGAGGACTAAAATGCATCTCATGCAAATATATGAAAAACCCAATGCATGAATATTTTATTTAATAAATCATATTTATTAACTAAATGTTAAATATTAAAAGCAAATAATTGGCTTTTAGGGCACATAATACCAACAATAGGTGCCCATGATTATATTTTTAGGGTTTTACAGACTCTACACTTAGGGTTTTGGAATAGAGATTGAAGGCAATCACAAGTTAGGGAGAAAAATGGTGGTGGTAAGCAGTGTAGGAAAAAATTTATGATTTCAATATAGGTTTGATAGGTAGATTTGCATTGCTATGAGATCAAGAAAATAAGAAGAGAGATAATTGTTTTGCTGTGGAGAGAGAAAGGAAGATAGAGGAAAGTCTCGCCCGTAGCTGATCCTTAAGAAGGAAAAATAAAAAAGAAAGAAAAAACGATTTAACCTATAAAAAAATGAGCAATGCTCATATTTATTTATTTATTTATTTCTAGACAGAAGTTCCAATGACATTAGACCACATTATATGGAGCTTCATCCTCCTA